TTCTTCAGAACAATGTTCTGTTGACCCTGATAACCTATGCCTCAGACTGAGCAAGCTTGACTCAGTGACAGGGAGGTAGGTGTACACCAGACTCAACTGGAGGGAACAGTGGCCTCATCAGTTCATTATGGTCAGAAGATGATCTTTATCAGTTGTTGGAACTGATAGGATAGAAAAACACATTTTTTAAAAGAATTGTAACTGTGCCTACCTCATGGTTGAAGTATTTCTTTATTTTATGCAGGAACAAAAAGTGACCAGCTTTAAAAAAGAAAAAGAAAAACAATTCTGGACAAATTGTTGCATTCACTCAGACCAAATTTTTATTTTTAAAAAATCTGATACAGCCATTTAATTTTCACATGAACAGTAGCCAACGTTTGTGTGACTCATACCCATTATTCTCTATGTACACACAAGCACACACTATTTATATAGAAATAAATTAAGCTTTAATGAAATACAAGTTTACAAATGCAGCTTTTTAAAGCCTAGTGAAAAATAAAGATGGAAATTTCTGAGAGACAGGATCACTGTGGAATCTGGCTCTTCAAGATGATATTTTGAAAATTAAAAACCTGAGAGAAATCATTGAGTATTTTTTAAATGCCAATTTTGTAATTCTGCATATTTCTTAATCTAATTATTAACTTTTTATTGGCTAGAATATGGCTTTTAGGGTTGCCTCCAAAAAGTTAAATGTCATATAAATTGAAAGTTAATTTACATACCTTTTAAGAGTTAAAAGTATTAAGGCCCTTTCCAGCCATCTTTCTTGCTTCCAAACATAACTCATCATTTAGTGGCCCTTGATAAGCAACTTAAAATGTTATGCTCTGATACCTTTTCAGTGAATTTTTTATTTTTTTGTCTAAAAATTTCATCTTAAATAGTTGCAAAGGATGTAAGTGCTGACATATTGTAGATATCGCATCTTTAAATAAAAACTGTTACATTCCTTTTTAAATTTGGCCAAGAGGCTCTAAATCCAATACTTGTTTGATGGGCACAGTCATCCTTTCAAAAATTCCATGAAGAAAGCAATTTTTAATAGTAGGAAATGCCACATTTTTCCTTTAACTCCTTGAATTTGTATTTTTAATCTATTTCCTCCTCAAATTTTTAGCTTAGTTATTTTTGGCCTTTGTATTATAATATAAAATTATGTAATAGTCTATAATCATAAGGCTCTATGTATTTAAATTTTTCCACTGGGTTGAATTTAATAAACAAATATAGTACAAATTTTAATAAATTGTTAAACATAGTAAAATTCCATTGGCAATGTATCATCAATTAATGAGATGAGGAAGGCCTCTCCATGCTGCCATTTCCCCAATTATTTCATCTGTCTGTAGATTAAGATGATCTTTGTTAGAATGGCCATGGTACAGCATCAATTCTATTCTCCTTTTACATTTTCTTTATGAAAGTGTAGATAATCCTTGTTAACACCAGTAAGTAGATGGGAGCAGGAATTTTGTGGTGGCAGGATAACCGAATTCTTCCAACTCCTTCAGAATTACATTTTTTAAATATTCAGAAATCATGAGTGTTCCTTCAATTTTGTTGAAAACAAAGAATAGGAAACAATCAGACTTGCAAAAGGATTTGTACCCTGCTGTTAGGAAGCCTGCACTGTCTAAACACCCATGTTTTTTGAATTTTATACCTTGAGTCATGTTTTACAGTAAGACTGAAGACAGGGAAAGATATGTTTTCTTTTGTAGGGGAGAAAAAAGGCATTTTTCTCAGGCAGATGATTCTTATGAAACTGTACAATAGGAAAGTGAGGATCTGAGAATTGATCCCCTAAAATGATTCAGGCCTGCATATTCCTTGGAAAGCTCTGCTAGACTACTTAGGGATAAGGTTGGCCCAGTTTAAAGACCATTGCCTGCCCAATATAGCTCAGTGGTAGAGCGTCAACCCAGGAGGTCACCAGTTTGACTCCCAGTGGGGCAAATGCCTGGGTTGCAGGTCAATCCCCAGTAGGGGGTGTGCAGGGTTAGGGTTTCTATCTGTTATTGGCAAGGCTTCTGATCAATATAGGCTATTAGTAGTTAAATTTTGGAGGAGTAAAAAGTTGACTGCACAGTGTGTGTATGTGGGGGGAGGTCGGTGCCCTAACTCCTTTGTTTAAGGTCCAACTGTGAACTATTAGATTATGTTTCCTGGCTGCCTTCTTAATAGAGCAGCAAGTCTCCTAGTAAATTCCACTATACATTAGTCCCATGAGATATTCCTTGGCAAAAAGTTTCTGAGATCAAATTTGGGAAATGTGATATTCTACACCCCTCTTAACTATGCACAATAGAATACCCAAGTTTTACAGGGGAAAAAAGTTAACTTTGTATAACCTAAATTTTCCAAATTCAGATGATTTCACCAGCCTCCCCTTTATTTTTTCTATGTAACAAACCGATGCCTCAATAATACTAATCCTTAGAGAATTGACGAACAAAAGCAATTTAATATCCACAATCATGGTTTAGGTCCGTCAATGCTGCTGCCATATTTTAGGACATTCTTGTCTTCTTCTGCTTGATCTGAATGAACTGGGTTTAACACATGACTGCTAAATCATAATCTCAGCTAGATACGTTATAGGACTTGGGTTTTGTGGCATCCAGGCAAACTTCTAGAAAGAGCGGTGATGTCTTTTGCACCCTTCCCTTTCCCTTTCCGTGTCTTTCCTGAGAGAATCCTATCACCACCAAGAATCCAGATTCATGTGTTATCCTGTTAAGAGAATGTTGCAACCAGAGCAAATACTCTCTCTTGGTAGATTCAAGCTGTGAGAGCACCGAGGAGGAGCAGACAGTTTTAGGGGGAGAGTTTTTCCCAGCACCATTTATAGCACAACCCTTCTCCCTCCCCTCCCATTTCCTGCCTGTTCTTTCTTTGCACTTGTTGCTAGGTGTGGATTTTACACAGTGGCAGCTGAAAGATGCTTAACCCCTGCTTTCTATGCCACCACTTCTCAATTGCTTTGATATGGCAGCAGACCGTCCATTTTAAGCAGAAAGGGGATCCAGGCCTTACTTAGCTTTTTGGCTTTAAAGGGGAGTGAAGTGCAAAGGTTAATGTCTTTTACTCACTCCTGAGCTGAAAACAGAGGTAAAAGACAGCAAAATCTGAGCTCTACTGTGTAAGGTAATAATGGAGCCAAAGAGGTATGGGGGTAGCAGCGGGGGTGGCTAGTGGGGCCCTGGCTACAGGATCTGTAAAGTCCTTCCCTGCAGCCTTCGGCTCAGTGCCTTTCCATCCAGCCTTCCCTGAAAGTTGCTCAGAAACATCTGCTACCAGCAGGAACAGTCTTCCCTCAGTTACTGGCTGCCAAATAAAAGCAGTTCGCAATTCAAGGAATAACTAAAATAATGCCACAAAATAAGAGCCCCACCTTGGTCAGACTGCTATTACCTCTGTTCCTCGCTTCCTAGAAGGTAAAATGCATTTCTTTTAGAAGCATGTCTAACCATAAAACCATGGCCTTTTTTTTCTGTTTAAAAATAAACTTCTGTTAAACCTTGTACCCCCAGACCTTGGCATAGTGCTTGGCGTATGGTGGTGCTCAAGAAATTTTTGTGGAATGAAGGAATGAGGTCTTTTGATCAGAGAGAGCCTGGCTGGTTTCAACATGCTCATCAGCAATACATGCAGGCTAAGCCCAGGATAACCAGGGGAGGGCTCCATGCGTTTCTAAGACCCAGTTTCATCCCGTTAAAGCCACCAGTCTTACTGCTTGCTAGTTTGTTCCTGCCACCACAATCGTTTTCACCATTACAACTTTTCCCCTCTACGTCGTTCGTTTCTCGGTTCATTTTGAGTGATTTTGACTCTACTACTCCCCCAACCACTAACCTCATCCTTAAAAACCCTCCTGGAGTTATCACACTACACATCATTAAATTGTATTGCAGGGTGCAGAGGAGTGTCATCTTGTCCCAGGTGGGTCTGAGGCTTTGGTGTGGCTGCATTTGAGATTGTCTGTATCTTTCTAAAGCTTAAGCCACAGGACTCAGCCTGCTTACGCATTAGAAAGGTACAGTTTGATTCCCAGACTCAGAAAACTGAGGAAACTGCCCCATGGAACCCAACTTGCATCACCTCCTTCAGGCAGTAAATTGACCTCTTGGCTGTGGGAGCTGCAGACCCGGAGCCTCCCCCGTGGTGACCCAGCCAGCTCAGGAGTGGGCAGAGCAGAAGTAAGAAGCTGGCTGAGCCTTCCCTAGGTCTCTGGTTTCTAACAGGTTTTTGTTTTTTTTAATCAGCAACTCCAAGATTTCCACCTCCCACCCCCAATAACTCCAGTCATCAAGTAAATCTCTATCTTGAACTAGACATTGTCTTAATGAACAGAGAGTCCAGGGACTCAGGCACCACAGTAGGTCAGTCTAGCCAGCTGGCCAGCCAGTGGTCGTTAAAGTGCACTGAGCTGAGTCCACTGACCTGGAGCAGGGAAGCCGGGCAGATGTGGCAGCCAGAGGCAGGGCTCCTCTCTGGGTCCCGGTGAAATCCGATGGCCTTAATTGTAGAATCATTTGCCTTGTAGTTAAATCCTTTTCCAAAGCTAATTTAGTTCCTTACATTGCGGGCTCACCTCCCATGGAAGTCAATTACCTGGGTCCTGAGAGGCCAGAAAAAGAATCCTGCTCACTGTGCAGGTCATGCACGGAGGGTTTAACTGTTCGGGATTTTCACTGCTTTTATTCAAGGAGGTTTGGAACACAAGAGGCCAGAGGTGAGGGATGTGATTTGGGGATCCTCTATAGAGAATTATAAGTTAAGAAATTGTCCAAGACGAAAAAATTAGGAGGAAATCACCCAGCTCGTGCTGATCGGGTCTTCTTCGGGAACGTCAATCTTGACTGTAGAGGATGACATCATGGGTTAGCATGATCCCACGGTCTGAATACGGCACATTCTTCTACATGCAAACACATACACACACACACACACACACACACACAACACCCTTAACACACGCACCCGGGTTTCTATGAGTAAAACTTGCTGTTGCTGACCCTCTTCTCTCTTAACCTGAAATAAAACAGATTTCACCATCATCCACCAGGCGGAGGCACAGGCCATATGCTTTGTAACGCACAACCGCAGGCCACTCTTGATGGCGTGGTACAGGGCTGAGAACCAGGGAGGCGGCTTCCTGGCAAGATTTTTAATCTCTCTGAGCCTCAATTTCCTCACTGGCCATTGCATTGAGGTCACTGCTATAGACCAGGTTGAAGTAAAGATGAAATGAGAGCAATATGGGTAAGGAGCCTACACTCTGATTCCCATTGGAGGCTGTGACAGGAATTTGGGGAGGCTAGTGCTTTTTAAAATTTTATTTCTTGATGAGAGAGACAGAAACATTGGTTTGTTGTTCCACTTATTTATGGATTCACTGAATCTTTTTTTTTTCACTTTAAATTCTTTAATGCTAAAAGTATTACATTTGTCTCCTTTTCCCCCCATTGACCTCTCCCCAGCTGCTCCCACCCCCAGCACATGCCCTTGCCCCTTACTGTCATTGGTTCTGGTATGTGCCTTGACCAGGAATTGAACCCACAATGTTGGCGTATCAGGAAGACACTCTAACCAACTGAGCCACCTGGCCAAGGCAGATGATGCTTTCTTAAGCAGGACTATCCGGCACATTGCAGGACACTAGGCACACACACCTGGCTGTCTCAGCCCCATTACCTGTCTGTAGCACAATCAAAAGGATCACTTGGAGGTGATTCTGTCCTGATTTAGAACCACTGGGCTAACCCATTCTTGAGAGCTTGATAGGGTCTCTTTAAAAGGTAGTGGTCATTGTTATTTTCATTATTATCTTGAAATGTCCTCCTAGTGATGATAGTTCCACTTAGGGAGGGTTAGGATACCTAAGACAGCACTGCAAGTTCAGTTACTGAGCAAAGAGAGCTAGAGTCAAGAGTACCAAGCAAAGGATTTCTAACGACAATGGCGCCTTCCTGAAGCCTGACCCCACATGCCCGATGTCACTGTGCTGGGAGGAGTGAGATCTGAGGGTCTGCAGGTGGGGAAGAGGTGGCCTACCTCCGGTTGCACTTCTCCTGGTACAGATGGAGCTGGTTCTCGTTGACATTGAACTCTTTAATGAGGGCATCCCGGTTGGCGTTGCGCAAGTTCTGGTGTGTGTCATATAGGAAGAGTTGGTTGTTCAGCTCTTCTTGCCGCCTCCGCAGCTGGCGACAGGAAGAGTACAGTTCCTCTTCGCACTCCTGGAGAGAAGAGAATCATGTGGTGACAGTGTCTTCCAAACCAGAAGGTGGGCCATCGCATCTTATGAGTGTGAAGGCAGCACGGGGCAGATGCTCTGCAAACTGGGACTATCCCAGAAAACCCAGAGCCTATTTTAACCAAAGACAAAGCTGGCAAGTATTGATTGCATTAGAAGCAGTTAAAAAAACAAAAACCCTTGTGCACAATAAAGGAAGGCTTTATTGGGAAACACTGGAATAACAAATGCATTGTCCATTGACCCTATTTCTTAATCAAATTTGGTTTGTCACTGGTCTACACCACCTTTGGGACCTTATCCCAGTGCAAAGGGCCTAAGCAGCTCTGTGTGCAAAGTGGAACCCAGCAGGTGAGGGGGAGAACAGACTAATATAAGGACAGAAAGGTAAGCAGGATGCAACAAAGCATCTAAGGTCTCATAAAGAGCCTTATTAAAAGGCAAGGTAATATACGACAACATAGATGAACCTTGAAAACATGCTAAGGGAAAGAAGCCAGTTCCAAAAGACCACATGCCATTATTCCATTCCTATGAAATGTCCAAACAGCAAATTCATAGAGACAAAGTAGACTATCATTGCCTGGGGTGAGGCTCGATCATGGTGGCCTGGCCAGTTGGTTCAATGGTTGAGCATTTACCCATGAAAAAGGAGGTCACAGTTCGATTCTGGGGCAGGGTGCATGCCTGGGTTGAGGCTCGATCCCCAGTAGGGATGGGTGCAGGAGGCAGCCAATCAATGCTTCTCTCTCCTCATTGATGTTTCTCTCTCTCTCTCTCTCTCTCTCTCTCTCTCTCTCTCTCTCTCTCTCTCTTCCTCTCTGAAATAAAAATAAATAAAAAAGAATAAGTATTTTGGGGTTTTTTGAAACAAAGATTTGTTAGGGCTAAGTTACTGCCTTTGAATGTCTGAAAATACCTTCCTTTTGCCCTCACTCTTGAATGGTAGTTATTAAGATACAGAATGTCTAGACTTACAGCTTGTGTCTTAAAATTTTTTAAAGATATCCCTTAGTCTTTAGGCTACTATTGCTATAGGAGGGAGTATTCCTGTCATTGGTCAGTCCTCTGTCAGTAGTCTGTTTTTTTTCTCTTTTATAACTTTCTTTATCCTGGTTCAGCCAATTAAACTCAATATGGCGTGTCTATGCGTGGATCTTACTTAGTTATACTGCTGTGTTTATAGTTGGAATCTTCAATGTTGGGAAATTCTCGGTTATCAACACCTTAAATATTTTATGTTGAAGTTTTTCATCCTGCCATCCTATTTTTTTAAAAATAAATCTTTATTGTTCAGATTATTACAAATGTGTTCCTCTTTCTCCCCCCTCTCCCCCCAATTGCTCCCCTCCATCAGGTTCCCACCCCACCCTCTGGCAGACCCTTTCCCCAATACCCATTGTCTTCATCCATAGATGCAAGATTTTGTTCAGTTCCTTCCCACACCCCCCTCTCCCCTTTTCCCTGAGAATCATCAGTCCACTCCCCTTCCATACCTCTGATTCTATTATATTCACCAGTTAATATTGTTCATCAGATTTTTTAATTCCCTTGGTTTTTAGTTTCACTTGTAGATAGTTACGTATTTGTTGTGCATAATTTTTATTTTTATCTTCTTCCTCTTCCTAAATAACCCCCTTCAGCAATTCATATAATTTTGGTTTGGCAGTGATGAACTCCTTCAGCTTTTTTTCATTTGTGACGCCCTTTATCTGGCCTTTGATTCTGAGTGATAGCTTTGCTGGGTAGAGTATTTTTGGCTGTAGATTCTTGCTATTCATCACCTTGAATATTTCTTGCTGTTCCCATCTGGCCTGCATGGTTTCTATTGAGAAATCAGTTGACAATCGTATGGGTGCTCCTTTATAGGTAATTACCTGCTTTTCTCTTGCTGCTTTTAATATTCTCTCTTTGTCTTTTGTTCTTGGAATTTTAATTATGATGTGTCTTTGGATTCCTTTTGTTTGGGGTTCTGTGTGCTTCCTGGACTTGTAAGTCTATTTCTTTCACCAGGTGGGGGAAGATTTCTGTCACTATTTCTTCTAATATTCTTTCGGTATCTTGCTCTCTTTCTTCTGGCACCCCCATAATTCTGATGTTGGTTCGCTTGAAATTGTCCCAGAGGTTTCTTACACTATCTTCAACTTTCTGGATTCTCTTATCTTCTTGCTTCTGCAGAGAAGTGTCCTTTAGCTCTTTGTGTTCTAAATCTTTGTCTTGATTCTTGCAGTCTTCCAGTCTGTTTTTAGGACTCTGTGAAATATTTTTTATTTCAGACAATGTTTTCTTTATTTCTATTAATTTCTTTTTTTAAAATATTTTTTATTGATTTTTTTTTTTTTACAGAGAGGAAGGGAGAAGGATAGAGAGCTAGAAACATTGATGAGAGAGAAACATCGACCAGCTGCCTCTTGCACACCCCCCACTGGGGATGTGCCTGCAGCCAATGTACATGCCCTTGACTGGAATCAAACCTGGGACCTTTCAGTCCACAGACCGACGCTCTACCCACTGAGTCAAACCAGTTTCGGCATTTTCTTTATTTCTAGTTGATCCCTTCTTGTTTCTAGTTGATCCCTTTTCATATCCTCATAGGTCTTGTTTATTTTATCGGCCTTTTTGAGGAAATTCTTGAAAAACCTTATAACTGTAGTTTTGAACTCAATGTCCATTCCTTTCTTTTCCTCCATCTCCTTCCTTTGTGTCCTGTCTCCCCTCTGCATTTTAGTTGTTTCCCTGATTTGATGGAATAGTTTTGTGTGCTAGGTGTTCTGGTAGAGCCCAGTAGTACAGCCTTCCCAGTTACCTTAGGTGGACAGTCTTGGTGTAGCCCTTTGTAGGTTGTGTGTGCAGTCTTGTTGTTAAGCCTTGCTTATTGTTGGTATCACTGGGAAGCGTTGATCTCCAAGCCAATTGGTTGTGAGGATCAGCAGTGTCTCAGCTAGGAGGGCTTCTGTACTCCGCTTGGATGGGGTGGAGTCACGGGGTGGCACAGACAAGCTTTGGTTCCCTGTCAGTCTTGCCTTAGGAAAGTCCTATTCGCGGTGAGTCCTGCAAGATTGGTTGCAGGCACACGCACCTCTTTGGTAAAGGTGCAGACAAGCTTTGGATTCTGGTCAGTCCCTCCTTAGAGAAAGCCAGCCTCCAGGAGAGCATCTATGCTCAGCTTGTTTGGGGCGGAGTCTCGGGGTGGTGCAGACAAGCTTTGGTTTCCTGTCTGCCCCTCCCTGAGTCCCGCAGTAATGGCCACTGTCTTCACACACCTCTGAGAGATCTCTGCCCACTGCCTGACAGTCCTTCCTCTCCCTTTCTGGGGCCGTCTATCAGAGCAATATGGTGATTCTGTTTTCCTCCTAAACAAGAAAGCCAACCGCACATTAGCTGTCCGCCCTCTCTGTGCACCTGGAGTAAGCCAGCAGTGAACTCGGCCCGCCCTCTATGAGCTCCAGGAGTAAGCCAGCAGCAAACTCTGCGGCTGCCTTTTCCTGCACACAGTTCTCCGCACCTTCACAGTTTCTGAGGCTCAGGGTGCCTTCTCTCTCCTTCCCAGATGGTAGAGTCTCCTCTCAGCGAGCCGTCCGGTGCTTCAGGGCAACGTTTCCCCTGTTTTCCAGTTCTAAATTCAAAATTGTTGTGGTAGTCTGCATTTGAGTGTCTATCCTATGCCGCCATCTTGGTTTCTCCCACCATCCTATTTTTAACTCTAGTTTTTCACATTTACATCTTGCTTGCTTTGTTCAAAGCATATTCTCCAACACAATCTTCATGTTAACTAATTCTTTCCTTAACTATGTCCTCCCTGGAATTTCCCACTTACTAATCTTGAAAGCAATTTCTTTCATAATTTTTCATATTGTATTTCCATAATTTCTAATTGGTCCTTTCATTCCTGCATGATCCTGATTAATAGTAAGAAGGGTTGGTCTTCCTTGGGTTCTCTCTGGGGAAAAACCCACACACATTTATTTCAAGGTTATTTTTAGATTTACTGGAATGAATGCTCTTGCTTTTACATTTGTGAGCTAAATTGGCATTGTTTTCTTTGAGTGCTTTAAAATTTTAATTTTAATGCACAAGCTCATCTTGGATGGGGAGGTTGATTCCTCCCATGAATCTATATGTTGGTATCTGGTTGTCTGAATGTTAAAAATGGGGGCTGGGGGAGGGGAGAGCACTCCCAAGGGCAGGATCAGCTAAGTTTTAGGGTGATGGCTTAGGAGTCTGGGTTCTCAGGAACCCTACAGATCACCCCTGTGTCCCGGCTGCAAGACACTGTCCACTTTTATCCCAATCCTTCAAGCAAGAGCTGGCCATGGCCTGAGTCCTGGGCACTTGCCAAATCTCTTTCTCTGGAGAGGTTTTCAGAAAAGCGAAGCCCACCTTGCCCTGAATCTTCTATTTGTGCACAGCCTTGAGTGCCCATTGCATTAGCCACAAAAATAAATGAATTGAGTATCCAAACACAGTCGTTAAAAAATGAAAGAAGTTTGAGGAAAGCAGACTGAGTCAGTAAAGATAAACATGGAAATGGTTGAATAAGAAAGCCAAAATATAAAATAAATGCAAGAGCTGGGTTGTTTTGTAGAAAAAAAAACACACAAATAGAATCAACCAAGTAGCTAATCCATTATCTAATCTAGAAATGTGTGAAAGCCCAAGTAAGACATAGGCACAGGTATACAACTATAGATAAAAAGCAATGGAAGGAACCTGTAAAATAAAAAAACAAGATGATAATGGAAAGAATGAATATATGTATTCTCTAAAATATATGTATTCATTCTTATTCATTGTACGGTTCTATCTCCAATATATATAATGACTGTGTATTATATATATATTGGAGATAGAACCTTATTTTATCTGGTTTATTTCCCCATATTTATTTTAAAAATACATATGTTAGAAGCAAGCAGTATATATACATTTCCTATTATAGAAAATTATCCCATAAGAGAAAAAAAATTGAAGAGACTTTTTTTT